TTCCTCCACCTGTTCCATATTTTCAATAGCTTCCAAAATTGCTTCTTTGGCGTGGGTATGTCACTCATATCGCCCTCTACAGCCTCCAACGGACACTTACGCGTCCCAATATCAGGGTTCAAAAGGTTCGACCCATATTCATCAAACTGAGAGCCTTCTTCCTTGGTCATATTCTGCTCATCCCGATTCGAATTAACATTCCCCATCTGCTCTTGCAAAATGGGTTTTGTACAGAATTTATAGAAAGCCCAGCTTCAAAAGCGGCCATGACTTGGCTAACACGCCCCTTGGTGGCAGCACTAGATTCTTTGGTGTAGCGGAGGGAATTCGCTTTTTAATTTCAAAGCACCGAGAATCCTCCTCCGATTCCGAATCCGCCGAGACAAGGGCCTTGATCACTTCATTATTACTGGGGGCCGACCCAGGATCCTTCTCGGCTGGACATTCAAATCCCCTGGTCTGGTCGGAGCCGACCCAGAGGGCATATCATTTCTTGGGCCGTCAGTCAGTTGGGATGAGCCCCCCCGCCGCCCAGAGCTTTCCGCAGCTTACCCCTCTTTGTGGGCTGGGCTGCTTGTGGCCGAGGATGGGCCGGTTTCCGCGCAGGAATGGCCGGCAGTGGATTTTGGTTGGGCATGCAATCCGCTGCTGGGAAGCCCTCACAGCCTGCCTTCATTACACTACTAGGCCCATTGTGCGGCCCAGTCCGCTTCCTATCCTTGCAGAGAGGATTCTTCTTCGCAGGCCCCAGCCTAGTGTCCTGTTGAACAGGATCAAACGATAGGGCATCATCATCAGAATCGGACTCCAGAATGAGCCGACGTCGCCGAGTTTGAGCGAGCACACCAGTATCGCACTCGGCCATCTCTGGTTGGGCAGAAAACTGTTCGCTGGTGGTGGCCTGCGCTTCTCGACGAATTCAGCCCCCTTAATCTTGCGGTCAACCTCAGTATCACGCTTAGCTTGGCGAATATTTCTTCCACCCCCGAGTTTGATCCGAGGGGGTTTATTGAGGGAAAACCCTCTCGGACTCATTTTCTTCATCAGAGATTTCCATAAGCTCGGTCCTTTACTCGGAATCCCAGCAGGACCTGCTCCTCCTATGTCTCTTTGGGGACCCGCCGCCTCCAGCGTCTGGCCAGCCACCTGTATGCCCTCATCTCTGTCCCGAATATAAGTTCGAGCCTTGGTGGCAGGGCCATTAATCTGGCGGTTAACCCAAACCGTTTGTCGAGGGCCTCTGATCTTCATGGTGTCGCCTTCGTCATCATAAAGCCGTAGACCCAGCTTTTTGTTGACATATGTGGGCCGAAGCGCTCCTTCCCACTTGGCGGGTCAAAGGTGCAATCGCGTCGTGCATGACCCACCGACCATAATGATAACAGAAGCTTGGGAGGTATTTGTACCGCAAATTCACCCAAAAGCAACCAGCCTCATCACTAGCCGCCAACAGCTGGGATCGGAGTGGTTTGGCGAAATCAATAACAACACGAACTTTAATAAATCGCTCCCCCGTATCCTGGCAAGCAAAAAGGTCTGACTCTAGGACCTGACCAATAGCCGAAGCCACAAATTTGCGCCCAAAGAGTTTGGTGCAACAGTCATCCTTCACGCCCCAAAGTTGAATGCGGAAAGGAGCTATGGATAAGTCCTCAAAGGTCTTCCGAGAAACTGAAGGCGCCCAGGAACGGATGTTGAGGAGCTTATCCTTAATCACCCATGGGTACGCTTTAGTGCCCAGCTTTTTGCCTCCTCATTAGGCAGCATGATTTCAAATAAACCATGGCTCGCCATGGAGACTTTCACCCGTCCCTTGATTTGCCAAGCATCGACCAGGGCGTCACGCAGTTCCAGAGTCGAGAATTGCTCAGCAGTGAACAAACGCCCTTACAGAGTGCGTGACGCGCGAAGCTTCGTGGACTGAACCTCATCCAGAGAGAACTGGACCACCTGGTCTTCCGTGACATGAACCATACCTCGTTCATGACAAGAAGAGGCAGCATTCAAACGGGAATTAATAACAGGGTTAACATGCAACAGGCCCAGCGAAATAGGCACATTCGAACTAGGGGGTGGAACATGTTTATCAAGAAGCGTATTGGAAACATCAGCCTTAGAGGAGAGGTAGAAACTGGATACAAGATCACACTCCTCCATACCTGATCTGAAACGGCCGCACTAGGGAGGGGGGGGGGGGTTGCTGCGATGAGGGAGCCACACACACATAATTTTTCCTGATAGTGTGGAAAATCATACGCAGCAGGGGTGAATATATAAAGAAACGCAAGTCATAGCTGCTTCCCAAATCCGCCCCAAAAGACCACGAGAAATCCGGACCCAATCGGCGATCAACAGATGCGGATCCTGGCCCCGGTTTCGACGTGTTTTGTGTACCCCCCTTGGCCGGCGATAGGAGCCAAAGGCTGCCGGGGGTACCTATTTTGAATAGCAGTCGAATTCTTCGTCGGCCAAAGCAGGGCCGATTTTTTCTTAACTGCTACCCACACAATAAGAGGTATGTTCGATTCGGCTCCCTGAGCACCTTGAGACGAATTAGACCTGTGGCAATTCTTTTCTCCACTCATAACCTGTGCAACAGGCAATTCCTCCTCACCCAAAACAGAAGCAGGTGGGAGCCAGAATCGCCATCCCTTTAACGGCAACAATCTGCCTTTTTTAACACGGGCGGTCAAGAGGGTTTCATCGTTCCCCCTACCATGCCTCTTTTCCTTTTCCGCTTACCTATAACCGATTTGCATGTCGGTGCGGCGGCGCTCTTTCGGTGGCAATCCGACTTTCTGCCCTGTGGCGTACTCGGTTGCCCTGCGCCTCGCCTTTTGATTTCTCCAGAGATGGTTGTAGGACGACAACCAGCAGTTTTCTGATTCTGCAAGCGGCCAAGAGCCAAGAAGAAAGCACATGCTTGAGCCATTCCCCCAGCCAGAGAGAAAATTCGAGGAGAGAGGGGAGAGCTCCTCTCGCCATATTTTTTTTTCCGATGATTGCTGATTCGTCCACCAAACTTTGTTTGTGTCTATAACAAGTCAAACTTATTGATATGTACCGTTGTTATCTTTTTTATGCTTCATAATTCTAATTAACCGTATAAATATGAAGTTAAACTTTTTTCAACTTACATGCATTATTCTCTTTTTCTCATCATATAAGCTGAAGATTATCCAAATGATATTTTCCCTTTGGTAAACAAGCTTTATCGCTAGTTTCGTATACATGAACGGCGTGAGTAGACAGAATAACTGCAATCAATCGGATGAGGGGGAAAATGGGAGGGGAGAAAAGGCAAAAAAAATGAAGGGGTCGTTTGGAAGTTGCGATAGTTTTGTTGAGATTGTCATTATGCATGTATTGTTTACAATGCATCGTTTTTTTTGTTTTTTTAGCAGAAACAATACATGGATTGTTTCTGTGATGTGACAAAAAACTATCACTCATTTTGAGTGATTGTTATATCTCAACTTTTAGTTGTGATTGTTGAGATAGTTGAGTTGAGATTGTTTTGTCTCAACTTTTAGCTGATGCGACATTCACAATCACACATACCAAACGTTGTATTCTACAATGCATCAAATTCCACAATACATGTATAATATTATACATGCATTCTCAACAATACATCCATTTAACAATCGCAACTTCCTGTTGACTGGATTAATATTCTTGATCTAATTTCTGAGCTTCTTTAAGATTGTAATTTGCCCGCGTTTTTCCGAAGGTGGAAAAAAATATGATTTTATTGTAAAAAAAAAACAATCACAACCCCAAACGACTCCGAAGTCAACCGAGCACAAATTCTTGGCTTGAGGGGCAGAGAGATTAGTGCGCCGTCAAAGAAGGAACGGCAAGGAAAGTTCATCCATACCCTTCAAAACGACCGCAATTTCGTTGAGGAAGGAAAATAAAAATAAAAACTAAAAACAATTAAAATGGGCCGCCCAAGAAAGCACAGAGAAAGCCTCCCCCTGATACATATAAAATGCCCCTTTTTTTCTCCATTCTCCACCTCCACGCCGCGCAATTCCTAATTCCTCTCCCCACATTCCACGCCACCACAAAGCGAAAATCCAGTGAGAGAAAGAGAAAGAGAAAGAGTCTCTCTCCCCCCAAAACCTTCTCTGCAGTTACAATTTCACAATCCGTCGCAAGAAGCATTTCAATCGACCGGCGGCGATGGGGAAGTACATCGAGCTGCTCGACGTCGGCGCCAGAATCGTCGGGAGGTTCTACTCCCACTGCCCGCAGACTGCTCGCATGTACTACCACCCTCCTTCCAACGCCGACCAGTACCAACAGGATCACGCCGGCGGGATTAATCAGGCTACGGCGGCGCAGAGCAGCAGCGGTGTGAAATCTGCTGGTGGATTCAGTCTCAAGGCTTCCATGGGAGTTGATTCCGCCGACCAGCTGGTTCTGTATTCCGTCTTCTGACGACGGCAGGCCGAGTCGGAAGCTAGGTCTAGATTATTAGAGTAGAAAATCAATTGAGAAAGAGGAGAGAGAGGATTGATACACATCGGAGGAAAACACTTGGTTGCCTATATTACAATTGTGAATTTTCAATTGAAGAGATGAAAGAGTTTTCTCATTATTATTAACGATTGATTCATTAATCATTATTATTTTGTTCTTCGTCGCATCGATTTGCTCTGTCTGATTTGTTTGTGTGATTTTTTTTTGCATTGTGTCTTTTTTGTTGCCTAATTCGTGTTGTGTGGTTCAAACTCCGAACAGCCATGGTCGGTGGCTTCTTGGCCACAGGCTGGCTTTTCTTTCCTTTGTGTGGTTTAATTGCGCAGAAAAAGATTGCGAATGGGCCACCTAGGTTTTTGGGTCCGTTCGATGTTCTGAAACTGGCCTAAAAGGATTGCAAATTAGCCACTTTAATTTTCTTCGTTCTTTTGAGGTGGCCACCCTTGTCCCTGCTACTTGAATACTTTGTTTCTAGAACGAGTTGTTCGCCAGCTGTTAGCTTCAATGAGCCTGCAATCTATTTGCTACAAGACTCACGGTAATGGACTTACAACCTAACTAAACATGTTTTTTTAGACGTCTAATTTCATTCTATTTGGACACTACAACAGAAAACTAAAACGGACTATCAAGTCTATCATACTAAGCTCATGCCATAATGACTTGGTAGCCATCTTCCGCTCCCCTCTGCTTCTTTAGCCAGATGCTGAAGCCAACGACACCAACAAGAGCAACTAATCCTGACACAGCAAGGATTGTCCAAGACTCTGCACTAAATCCATGGAACACCTGCAATACCAGCAAACCAGCATAATGGATTAGGATGGAAATATGTACAGGAAATTAGCTGGTAAACAGAATACTTACATGAGCGGCAGAAATCGAACGGTGGAGCAAGGCAGCTGCCCAGGTTGGTGGTGCTGGTGGTAGTTGGTCAGCAATGAAGATGTGGAAGATGCCCATAACTCCGAAGTGGCCCCTTGTCCCGCAACTTGAATAGTTTGTTTCCAGAATGAGCTGGTCGCCAGCCGTTACCTTCACTGACCTGGTTCAGGGTAACAGGTGCTCATCCCTACCACGAAGGCGGCCTCGTTTCCAGCTTCGTGCCCTGTTCCGTAGATCGGGACTGACTTGCATATCACTTCCCCATCCTGTATATGATAAGTTGAAGCTCGTTGAAGAAGACACTTTCTCTAGTGTAAGTTGATACTCTAATCAAGACAATCTAGACACTATACATGTTGGGACTAGATACTATAACAACACTCCTTTTGTTGTTATTGTAACAACATTAGTCTCCAACCAATAGAAAGCTAGGATTGTGATGACTTTTTATTAGTTGAGTTGACCTAGTGTAAAATCAAAGAAGGAGTATAATTGTCATTATGAAAAAATAAAAAATAAAAGATAAAAAAATAGTTTTTATTTTCTGCCAAAAAATTTGGTCGCCGGAATCTGGCCGCCGATCACCGGAATATGCTATTTTCTCATCGGAATATACCACCGTCGCCGGAATATGCTTACCGGCGTCGGAATCTAGTCATCGGGCCGAAATATGCCTATCGGCGTCAGAATCTGCTCACTGACGGTCATCGGAGTTCGGTCAACGAACTTCGTTGACCGGTCAACGACACCAGATGTTATTGTCTTCATTGTGAGATTTATGGTTTGGTTTCTCACTTTTTGTATGCCTTTTGTGGTTTGCTTTATCGCGTTTGTGGTTTGCATTGAGAAGTTTCTGGTTTGCTTTATCGTGTTTGTGCTTTGCATTAAGAAGTTTCTGGTTTGCTTTATCGTGTTTGTGGTTTGCATTGAGAAGTTTCTGGTTTGCTTTCAAAAAATTTGTGGTTTGCATTGAGGGGTTTCTGGTTTGTTTTAATATATTTGTGGTCTGCATTAGGATGTTTCTGGTTTGCTTTTTTGTGGTTTGATTTACTGTGTTTGTGGTTTGCATTAGGAGGTTTCTGGTGTGCTTTCGCAAATGTTGTGGTTTGCTTTGTGAGGTTTGTGGTTTGTTTTAGGAGATTTGTGGTATGCATTAGAAGGTTTCTGGTTTGCATTAAGAAGTTTCTGGTGTGCTTTCGAAACTTTTGTGGTTTGCTTTTGCGAGGTTTCCGGTTTGTTTTAATATATTTGTGGTCTTCATTAGGACGTTTTTGGTTTGCTTTACCGTGTTTGTGGTTTGCATTAGGGGGTTTTTGGTGTGCTTTTCAAAATATTTATGGTTTGCTTTGTGGGGTTTCTGATATGTTTTAGTGAATTTGTGATTTGCATTAGGAGGTTACGGTATGTTTTTTGTAGGTTATTTTATTGCGTTTGTGGTTTTATTTTCGCATTACCACTATGTCAATCAATTGAGGCTAATCCCTGACATTTTAATTAATTGGAAAATAATTAATTACAATGTTCTTGGTATGCTTCAGATACACAATACAACAAAATAATATGGTGACCTCCATATTCCCAAACTCGACCTGCATTAATACCAACATCACACAACTTGTTGTTGATGATACAAGAGCCAAATCACAAATTCCACTTGCCATACATGAGCATCATCCATCCTGCGCAACCATCAACATCATCAAACTCCTGCTTATCCCATTCTTGTTTGCTCCAAAACCAACATTCATATCCACATCCACACTAGAGCTCGCATTGTTGTTCCCACCATCCCCATCTTGGACGAACGTTGAAGATAACCGCAAATCATTTGGACAACTTGCCAACTTTGGAGCATTTAAATGAAGATCCGGGAATAATTATAGAGCTGACGAGATGGAAAGCCAAAAGTGGAATCCTTCCCCAGCATATCCGTGAAACCTTCAGAAGAAGCTCCAATTCCACGACGGCGAACGATCCTCCCCGCAATCGTTGAACACGAGCTTGCTCTTCTTCGTTGCGTCACTTTCCATTCTATTTTACTGTTCTTTTTCCCACCGCACGGCCCTGATCTCGCTCCCGACCTTCGATATCCTTTGTTTCCTACTTTGTCGTTGCTACCGCAGTAGGTAACTACGAATGACGTTGCCACACAAGGGATTATTTAATGGCGACGTTGCCACACAAGGGATTATTTAATGGCGATGGCGATTATCATCGCATCCATTGCGGCGGTGCTCGACTCGAGCTCCGATGGCCATCGCCCTCTCCACCATCTCGATTAATCATTGGCGATAGGAAAGCTAGTGGAAGAGGAGAAACCAGATCTGGAAAAGGAGGAGTGCGGCAACGAGTTGGATAAATACGTTTTATTTTTAATTTGTTATTTTTTTGTTGTTTTACATATTTACCCTTGTTGTTAGTATAACAACACTTACATGTTATAACAACAGGGCTAAAAGTCACAATGTAGCAAGGGATTCCTTACCAACCCCAATTCCAATCAATCACTATCTACAATAATTGACTAGAAGTTAGGATTCACCTGGCGATAGACAGCTTGACCGATTGCTCCAGAATGCTGGTGGCCAACACCATAGACGACATAACCAGTCGCAGGCAGAGTGAAGTGTATCTCTTCACATCAACGCACCACTCATCATCACCATTACTACACGCTCAACCTCATACTCAATCTGCAACCAACCAATCAAACACCGTTAATGAATCTGATTATCAGTCACCAATACATAGAGGTGGCAATTAGGATCCAAATCCATGAATCCAATCCAATCCATCCACCAAATTATCCACCTAATCCAATCCACTTAAATCCAATCCATTTGATCCAATCCAATTGGATTGGTGGATTCATGGATCAATCCATGGATCCAAATGGCAAATTACGGTTTGGTACCTATATTTTTTATATTTTACATTTTGGTACCTAAAATTTATATTTTTATACGAAAATATCATTGGAAAATTACATTTTGGTAACTAAAATTTGTCATTATGACATTTTAGTACCTAAACTTTTCAAAATTTACATTTTGGTCCAAGCTTTGGATGTCATTTGGATTCATGGATCAATCCACCAATCCATTTGATCCAATCCATGAATCCACCAATCCAATGGATCCAATCCATTTGATCCATGGATCCACCAATCCAATCCACGAATCCACAAATCCGATCCAATTGCCACCTCTACCAATACACATTGCAGTTCACATGTTCAAATGTCATCTTCACACCTGGCAACTAGTAGTTTTTGCCATACCCCTTTCCCCTGTATAAGTAACATCAACGATGAACACCTACACGGGGAGAAACTCACCATCCAGCCAATCAACCCATTTCACTGTGTACCTCAAATACACGCTCCTATTGCTACCCTGAAACCCTAGTTTCACCATATACTGACCGCCATCTTCACAGCACTTTAATCCACCTCATACCCACCATCGACGGTCACATTGTACAATTCAGACAAACACTCCTTGCATCCCAATCCATCCACAACCCCTCTCGTGTCAATCGCGTGGATAGCGAGCATCCACCTCTCCTCGAAACCCTCCTCCGGGTTCCCGATCTCGATCGCGTAGGGATCGGGGAGAAACGTCGCCGTCCTCCTGGTCTCTGATCCGGAGCCGTAGTGCATGCCCAGAATGTTTCCCTGACATATCCCGTCGTTGCGCACGACCATGGCAGAGTCATCGTCGGATGACGATGATCTACCACCAGTGCCCTTGGGGACGACGTATCGGAACAGATCCCAATGGTGGAGACTGGAGATACGTCTCGTAGAGCGGGATGGGGCGGCCGGAGGAGTCGACGGGCTCGACGTGGAAGCTCTTGATGCCGATGTGGCCAGTCGGGAAGCCAACGTCGTAGTGGAGCGTGTTGGTTACCGAGGCGGGAGCTAGGACGAGCTCCGATGATAGGAACGTGGCGGATTTGAGCTTGTGAGAACAAAGTCCAGATCTGGGGAATTTGATCTCTGAGCTTTTCCATTGATGCAGAATCAAATATATACAGAGGGTTCTCTAATCACTGTTTGTTAACGGCTAAATAAAACTAACAACCAAATCTACCTATCTGAGCTATACACGTGTAAGCATATACAGTAAATTACGAACACTCGTCCGTTGACGAAACGCAGCGTCTTTGGCTTTCTTTAATCTTCAACGTCGCCGTATCATTTCGATCATTCCTTCTTATCTTGAGCGCTGCCGTATCGCTCTGCTCTTCCTTCTTCATCTTGTTCTTCAGTTCCTGAGCAGAGCGTTTCCCTTTGTTGCTGCTGCTAAGCAATTCTTTGTTGCAGGAGAATCATCATCATCATCATGCCTCTCTGTTACCCTCCCACAAGCTGGCGAGTATATGTTGTATACTCCCAGCTTGGACAACGGAGATGCAAATCGATCCACTGACAAGCTCTTAGTAAAGATATCTGCAGGTTGTGCTTCTGTTGAAATGTGATGTAAATTGATCAATCCTGATTGTACTCTTTCCCTTATCACATGGCAATCCACATCTATGTTTAGTTCTTTCATGAAACACTGGATTTTCAGCAATGTGGATTGCTGACTGATTATCACAGAACACTTTGACTGTTTGAGGATGCTGCACTCCAAAATCCTTCAATAATCTGATCAACCATTCAATCTCACAGCTTAAACTAGCCAAAGCTCTGTACTCTGCCTCTGAAGAAGATCTAGACATTGTCTTCTGTTTCTTGCTTTTCCATATTATAATACCTGAACCAAGAAAGGTGCAGTATCCAGTTATAGATTTCCTTGTGTCTGGACAAGTGGCCCAGTATGAGTCACTGAATCCTTTCAATTCCAACTTGGTATCCTTAGGGTAAAGAAGTCCCTGCCCTGGTGAACCCTTAAGGTACCTAAGACTCTGTGAAGAGGTCTCAAATGTAGTGATGTTGGACTGTCCTGATATGTGCATAGCTGTTGCACAGCAAATGCAATGTCTGGTCTGGTAGTTGTCAGATACTGCAACTGTCCAACTAGATGTTTGTATCATGCAACATCAATCAAAGGAGTACCACCTGTTGCTGATAATACTTCTTTGACATAGATAGGAGTGGCTGCAGGTTTACAATTTTCAAATCTAGACTCTGCCAAAAGCTCCAAGCAATACTTCCTTTGTAAAACTGTAATACCTCTAACCCCCCTTGTAACTTCAAGTTCAAGAAAATATTTTAACTCCCCTAAATCCTTCATCTTGAATTCTCCTTGTAGAATTTTCTTTGTTTCTGTTATGGATTCCAGGCTAACACTGCCAATCATAATATCATCTACATAAACAATGAGAACCACCAATGCTCCAAGCACTTGTGCTGTGAAATAGAGTAATCAGAAGAAGATTGTTGGAATCCATGTTTCAGTAGACTTTCAGTAAGTTTGGTATACCACTGCCTGCTTGCCTGTTTTAAACCATATAATGACTTCTTCAAATGGCAGACCTTTCCTTTGCAGTCTACTCCCAAATCCATACCAGGAGGTATTTCCATGTAAACCTCCTCTGTTAAATCTCCATTCAAGAATGCATTGCTTACATCCATTTGATGTAAGTGCCAATTTTGTACTGCTGCAACTGCAAGTAAAGTTTTTACTGAACTAAGCTTAGCTACTGGTGAGAAGGTATCACAGTAGTCTATGCCATACACCTGAGTATAAACCCTTAGCAACCAGTCTTGCTTATACCTTTCAACTGATCCATCTGAATACAGCTTCACCCTGAATACCCATTTGCAACCTATTGGTCTTTTACCAATTGGCAGATCTTTGATCTCCCATGTTCCATTATCAATTAAGGCCTTCAACTCTTCTTGAACTGCATTGTTCCAATGAGGGTCCTGCATTCCTTTTGGAAGGAAGCTGGTTCTCTGTGTGCAGTCAAGCTATTTATGAAATGTTGATGTTTAGGTAGCAAATGAGTGTAAGAGAGTGCCTTGTGGATAGGGTGAGTGATGTGGTAATCTTTGTGCCAATTAGGAGGTCTAATTGTCCTGGTTGACTTTCTTAACTGAGCATGAGATGGAGAATAAGAGGGGCTGTTAAGTGGTATTGGAGAAAATGGAGAAGAGGAAATAGGACTAGGCTGAGGAATGGGAGATGAAATGGGAGTAGGGGAGAAAACAGTGGGTTGTGAATCCACAGGATGAGTTTGAGAGGTTTGAGGAGTTTGAAAAGTAGGAGAAGAATGTATAGATGAAGAAGGGGAAGAGGAAGACTGTGTGCCCCCCTCAGACTGTGGATTCTCAGGAGAAGTATAATTGGTGTCAGAAGGAATGCTGGGAAATTGGAACAATGCAGTTCAAGAGAGTTGAAGGCCTTAATTGATAATGGAACATGGGAGATCAAAGATCTGCCAATTGGTAAAAGACCAATAGGTTGCAAATGGGTATTCAGGGTGAAGCTGTATTCAGATGGATCAGTTGAAAGGTATAAAGCAAGACTGGTTGCTAAGGGTTATACTCAGGTGTATGGCATAGACTACTGTGATACCTTCTCACCAGTAGCTAAGCTTAGTTCAGTAAAAACTTTACTTGCAGTTGCAGCATCAAAAACTTTACTTGCAGATCCGGAGCCGTAGTGCAGGCCCAGAATGTTTCCCTGACATATCCCGTCGTTGCGCACGACCATGGCAGAGTCATCGTCGGATGACGACGATCTACCACCAGTGCCCTTGGGGACGACGTATCAGAACAGATCCCAGTGGTGGAGACTGGAGATACGTCTCGTAGAGCGGGATGGGGCGGCCGGAGGAGTCGACGGGCTCGACGTGGAAGCTCTTGATGCCGATGTGGCCAGTCGGGAAGCCAACGTCGTAGTGGAGCGTGTTGGTTAACGAGCCGGGAGCTAGGACGAGCTCCGATGATAGGAACGTGGCGGATTTGAGCTTGTGAGCGCGTGAAGCAACCGCGGACGCGATTATCAGTAGGAAGAGCAAGTGAGAATCGACGTCCCATTTTGGAGTTGCAAGATGGAGTCTGGAGACAAGTGATAAATGACCTTAAGGATAGAGGTCTAGGCCCTGGGTTGGGTTCCAAAGCTCCCACATTCTCTTGAAATGCAGCTATTTGTACGTGGGTTTCGTGTTCACTGGACATGAAAACAGTGCCTAATTTGCAGATTATACCATAACTTAAATGTCAAATTACCAATATACTCTTGATGTAAAGTTCAAAATTCAAATAGCCAAACAACCCCCAACCCCAAACCCTTCTTCCTTCCCCGCGTCCCCTTCCCCTCTGCAGAACTCCGACCAGTGCCTCACCTCTGACCCACTCCCCTTCACCGCCGACCGCCCTCCCGTCGCCGTCCGCTATCTCCCATCGCCGACCCGATCCCTCGCAACGCCGTCGGCTTCCCGCTCTCCATCTGCGCAGAATTGTCGGAGAAGAAGGTAATCCGCCGGCCTCCCAAATCTCATCGACCGCAGTCAAGCCGCGATTAATCCGCCGACTAACCGCGGTCAACGCGCGGTTTGACCTACGCACAATTGAGCATGCGTTGACCACAGTTGACCGTCAGTCAAACCTCGGTTTGACTGCGGTTGAATTTTTTTTCTTGTTTTTGTTATTAATTATTTAAATATGATAAATTTTCTAATTTAATTAGTTAATTACTTATATGTGAATTAGATATTATACTTAATAATAATAATTCTTATATATTTTTTCAATAATGATAAAAATTAAAAAAAACCTATTAAAACTTATTCGATAAATGTTAATAATGATAACAGAAATTTAAAGAACATACGTACAAAAATAAAAATGTACTTATATCATGTTAATAATCAAAATTTTAAATTAATTCGTTTATGAACTTAATTATTAATAATTGTAACTTTTTAACTTACTTAATTAAGTATTACTTTTATGTGAATAATGAGTAATTGTACGCAGAATATTACATAAATGTTCAATATATTAGTTTTATGATTTTAATTATGAAAATCTTAAATTGATTAGTTTATGTACTTGAATATTAATAATTGAAGCTTTTTTTAAGAAGTCATGGACATGGAATGGGTAAACCGGATATGATGAGAAATAAGGAGAGAATGGAAGGTCGTTAGTGTAGACTTACGGCGACTGGTAGGAAGGAAAATGAAGGAAAAAATCCATCTAAGGTTAGGAGGAGGAATAAGAAGAAGGCGTATGTAGTGCGTCCCGACGGCCACCCTACTGTGAGGCAGTTGTCTCTTAGTCGAGGTACTGTCAATACTCCTACACTAGAGGGCGCACCGGCTTGGCAGGCTAATTGGAGCGATTTCATTTATGAGGATGATGATGACGACGGTGATGTTGGTGATGCTGAGGTTAGGGATGCCCCACCTTAAGCTGATTTAGGCATGGGGAAGACGGGGGGGTCTGGATATCTTCTACTACCTCCTCACACTTCCGTGGGCCCGATGGACGTTATGCAGCCTGACCTAGTAGCGAGGAAGGCGGAGATGGAAATAGGAAGAGGAAGACCACGAGAAAAGAGATGTCGTGGTTTCTTACATCGGAGTCTCAGATGTGTTTAGGTGGACCATTGATTCCCGATGTGATCCCTAGTTTTGGAGGTCACATAGGCTTTGTACTGTGGACTTCTCCTGAGTAGGACCGTGGAGTGTTGGATGGCTTCCATAGGCCAAAAGCTCTAGAGTCTTTGAGGTGATATAAATGGAGTGCAGAGGGTTCCCAAGGAGATGGTTGATACCACAGGATTATACAGCATGTTGCCAAGACGCAATGATATGATCCACTGTCGGTTTGGCTGCATCTATACCACAATGAGTCATCCTTCGCACCTCGGCTAGACACTTTGTTCTCACATTCCTATCTATATGCCAAAGACATAGTATATGAGTCGATGATGGAAACATTACCCTCGCGGTCTCAACCATTCCTCTTGCCTTGTCACTGACAAACACATATGGAACAATAGGGCCAAGAAGATGTTGCAAATGCGTCAAAAGCCACTGGTACGACTCCTTCGTCTCGTCGTACACTATTGCAGATGCAATGACAAAGTTCAATCCCACTGGTGTCGTGCCGACAATCTTAACCCAAGGCATATCATATTTATTGGTTTGTATGTTGCATCTATCACGATCACATGGTGCCAAGCTTGCAACATCACTATCGACTCGGGTGGACTAGGAACAAGTGTGTAAGCACGTTACGATCGTCCATATACTGCACACAGTAACCCTTCTCCTAAGTGACTCACTCCTACTGTCACTCTAGAAAATGGCCAAGTGCAACCACTTCCTAAAGCGTAGTATAGCGGGTTTGGGTTTTATTGTCAACCCGGGTCCTAGATGTGATGACTACTCGGTGAATTCTTGTTATTTAGCGGTGAACTTTTAGTGCAACTCAAGCAAACAAAACACAAAGCAAGTAAACGTTGTTGTCAAGTCAAGAGAGGTCACCCGGATATGGTTCCCCCTAGTCTGCAGTTAAGCCGGATTGTAATTACCAAGTTCAATTACTATGATAGTTATACTGCGGAAGGTTCTCAAACAGTCTGAAGTCTCGACTAAAGGTCTTCAGACCCTCTCAATCTGAGTCTCTAGCGGGCGACTAACCTCCACCGGAGTAAACAGATTGAGGCCCTATGAACAAAACCTCCACTACCGAATTGAATTCGGTACAGAATAGTGAATTGGCTCCTCGACTAAAGTCACCAATTCACTACCTTCGATTAAGGATACTCTATCAACCTAGGCAGATATTATCATTCTAGGTTAAAGCAGGAACAACAGGAATTTGATCAGGATTCATGCCATTCAATCATTCAAAACCTCAATCGAATATAATCAAAATCATAGTATCATACTTGGGTTCATACAATCAAACCTAACACACAGAACTAGGGTTTCCCATACCCAGATGAATGGGGGAACTACTCCATGGAGAGAGAAGCAAAAGCAGAATCAGACGCGGAAATCATACTGTGAAGATGGATTTCTGCTCCTGGACGTTGAATCGGCACTTCTCCAAGCTCAAACCAAGCTCCAATGGTGTTGAAGATCGATCTAGGGCACTTGGAGGCTCTTGTTCGTCGCTTTCTCTCTCTAGGAATCGCTCTGTCTCTCAAAAACTCGAACACCCTCCTTTTGGCTCGGAATAGGCTTTAAAACCAGGATTTCCCGACTCGCACGGCCAGAGTGCACGGCCGTGCATATCACCATTCTGGCCGTGCGGCTCAAAACGCAGCGTTCCAATTAATCGACCTTCAGCCACCTCGCACGGCCAGAGTTGCACCTTGCACGGCCGTGCGAGTTTCAGGGTTGCCCGTGCGTGGCCTCGGCAAAAAGTGCACGGCCTGGATTGCATGTTGCACGGCCGTGCAACTCCCTGCTCTGGCCGTGCAGCCTCCTTGAAACCTCGCCATTCGTCCGATCTTCGTCCAACCGACCCCAGACTCGCTCCCAAGCCTTCATTCACGTACTAGGACCTGAAATATCACAAACAAGCACAACCTAGCGTGAAATCGGCCTAAAACACGAGAATCAACACCTCAAACGGTGTAAGAACAGGGGTAAAAACATGTGTAAATGACGGTCTATCAAACTCCCCCACACTTAACCGTTTGCTTGTCCCCAAGCAAACCAAGTCAGACACTAGGTAAGCTTACATACTTCAATCAACCAACATTGGGGACAAGTCATAAAGGCACAGAACACGTGAATCGCACTGGTTTTCAAACATCAATACATGCACAACCTCAATAACAACCTGGACAACCACCACAAGGACATTCGAGTGCAGCAAATCGAGTAAAGGAAGATCTCCCTTCTGTTCACTGGCCAACCTAGACTTGATTCAACCACTTACTCAAAACAGTCAACTCATGCATCCAACTCAAGACATCAGAATAGAGACCGAGCAATCTAGGTCCTCACCGGGGTACAAGAGCATATAGAAAATGAAAATGAATCACTCACTCTCGACCAGTGGGGTCAGGACAATTTGATGCGAAAGATGCGCATGCTATTCTCTCAATCCCTATCATCTCTTCACCATGATGGCAGCCTCTAAATGCTAGAGTTCACATATGGGGTGTCACCACTAACTAATCAGGAGGTCTTAGACACAGGTTCAAATGACTGGCTAGGGTCTTGGACATGGGGAAAAGGCCTTTTAGGTGGTGGAAGTATTCATAGCAAAAGGTTCCACATTTCCAAACACACAATCACAGTCAAACAAACCGGTATTTTCTTTCTGCTATTCTGCATTACTCAATATCTCAAGAGCACAAGAGCGAAGGAGGCATAAACATCAGCATTTCCAAGCCAGACTGCTAAGAAACACTACTTACTGGGCATTATTCAGATTTTGGTAGTGGCTCTCTTTTGCTTTCAATTTTTCTTTGTTTCTTTCATTTTTTTTTCATTTCTAAGAGAGCCACCACTTCTGCATAAATTTCAAACACCTGCCCAACTTTTAAGCACTACCTCCAACACTCACATAGACTTTAGCAGAAACAGCAGAGAATATATAAAAACCACTCTGTGGAACCTTCTAAAAGATGCAACAAGGGTGATTTTTTCCATTATAGACCAAAAGAAAGGATAACACACGGCTCAAAGGGGCTGACTAGGGGATATGACACATCAGGACAGTCAGTTTTGGGCGTGGGCTAATCCTATGCCCCCATCATCTTAGCTAGTGACAACGTGAATGCTACACATCATGGAAGAGGGATCTATCGCACAAGAAAGAAACGAGCAGGCTCAAATCTCACATGGCTACCTATATGCTCTATCTCACATTCTGATACCCTGAACTAGATGCATAAACGACTGTCAAGAACAAGTAATCAGATCAAGTCAGATCAAGTCACAGTTGGCAAGCAAACAGTTGAAAAACTGAACCCCTACATCGTTCTACTGCACATCTCAGTCCTCATCATAGGTTGTCCTAGTCGCAAACAAGTTGTCATGCATTA